GCCCTGTGAAGGCCACTGCTCCTTCCCATCTGACAGTCTCATGAAGCTCCCCTTGTTTAAAATGCTGACAGTGTTATTTAGAACAGCTTTGCTCTGGTAATTTTCTAGAATATACCCTACATAGTTCACATGCATTTGGGATTTTTTTTTCTCTAATCTCTCTTGGAAATGATTTATTTTCAGAAACCTTCACCTAGTGGGTCTGGTGAAAGCACACACATCAGTGGCTCCCAAATCATAAGAAAGCTAATCACGGTAAGTCAACACTCACCGTCTATGCAGATGAGCCCGTGCCGACCCCTGTTGAATACCTAGTGGCCCTAAGTCTTCTGGGGGCAGCCTGTTTGTAGATTGCCAGTCAGGCGCCTTTTTCCATTGAATATTGAGGGGCCACTAGCATCCTTTTTCTGTGGACAGCTTGCCTAATGGCTTTCTGGTACTAATTAGAGGTGTCCCTCCAGGAATCTCTCACTGTGCAGCTTAGCTTCAATCTAACAAAACTAACCACTCACACTAGTTCACCTTCAGCTGGGCAGTGGAATCCCTTCCTACTCAGCCAGGGTGGTTATGGTGTCACATTACCCAGCAAAGGATGGCAGTTTTAACAGTTGTCCGTGGGGAAACATAAAGCTGTAGTCACGGTCAACTACTTACATAATGCTGGCCATAGAAGGAGTTTTCAACAGAATACATTCTGTAGCATTGCGTCCAGGTCGGAATATTTGCCTTTAGTTTGAAAGTGGAAAGCTGGGTGGAGCAACATGTCCATCATTCTAACTCTCACATGCGAGACACAGCTGCAAGTAGGACACTTGGACAGCAGGGAGCAACCGTGCTCACCCCGGGCCGCATCACAGCACAGCCCAGCTGAATGACCCTCCTTTACTCCTCAGGACCCCACTTTCAAACCTTGCCAAATGAAGACGCATTTCCTGCTTCCCTTCCCTGTGAACTATGTTGCTGAATGTGTTAGGACTGCCCCTTACACAGACCCGGACCATGCCAGGTGAGCGGGGTGGCAGGGGATTTCACAGATAGGGACAGAAGTGGCCAATTAGGAGCCTGTGTCCTGGGAGAGGGAGGGTGTTGGTGGCAGCACGTGGAAATTGGACCAACCATGGAGTCAGTGTTGGTTCAAGAAAAAGGAAGTTCCATGTAAAAAATGGAATCATTGTGTTGTCAGCTATGCTGTGAATGATTTATTTCCCTATTTCTATAGTGAGGAAATGTGCTCTCTCTGCCTATAGTCAAGAATATAGTAATATATTTCTACCATCAAATAGAAAAAAGGACTTAAAACAGGAGTTACCCCCTAGTTAGATTTTTCCCTTTTATATATGTTGGTTTTTCAACAGTGGGTCCCATATGGAATACAGAACTTTCTAAGGACAAGCACATGGCAGGTAAACCTGCAGCACCTGTGCGGCCAGAGCCCCCTGCACAGCTTGGCACTCCTGCTCAGAGCCGCCCTCCCAGGGTTTGTGGTGCAAACAGCTTTTCCTCCCCACCAGCTTCAGGAATGACAAGTTTGAGTTCATACTTGCCCCCATTTAGTCCATCATTTGGCCGGTTTCTTCCTACAGAAAGGGTTGTGGGAGCTGGTCCAGTGCTCAGAGCAGCAGGCCCATGTCTCCACACATGGTGGCTGTGGCCCAGCTTGCTCCCTTTCAGATGGAAAAATTTTCTAGAACCAGCCTTTTCTAGGACATCAGCTATTAACCACTTACAAAGGCATGGGATCATGGGATTCATAGTAGAAATTTATATACGTGGGAAGTTCTTAAATAATTTTTCCCGTGATGTGGTTTTTTTAAAAAAATGCTTCATGTGTGTTTTGACAAACAATAGAGTGAGGAAGGTCCAAAGAAAGTTCATGTCCACACTGCACCACCTCTCCTCTTGATCCAAGTCCACCTTTTGAAAATTGTTCCTCATTTTGCAGTTTTATTTTTTAAACATCGGACTATCGTTCATATGTTACAACTTGATTTTTATTTTTGTTTTCACTTAATTATCCATTAGGCAACTTTTAGATTATATACTTCCCTGTCACCTATGTTCGTGTTTAACTTGCATTTCGTTAAATCCTACATTTCATTTCAGCCTTAAGATCCTTGCACGTTTGATGACTACTAAGTTCTTGCATACAGAAATTCGAGAAAAAGGTGGAGCTTATGGTGGAGGTGCTAAACTCGGTCATAATGGAATATTCACTTTTTACTCATATAGGTGAGTTTTTCTCTGGCCTTGGAGACACAATGTCACTGGCTCATTCAGGCATCACTATCTTCACTTTGGAGTGAAATGTAGAAATACAGTTTCCACTTCTCAGCACTTAGCCACTCCCAGCAATGTCCTTGAGGTTGCCAGGTTTTAGCAGTGGGATAGAAAGGAAACATTTTGTCTCAAGTAAATTCTGGAGTTTGGAAACTACTGAATAGGCAGTATTGCCCTTTCACTTAGGGTAATCCTTTCTTTTGTGGGGGGGTCCCCTGCCTGAAGACTTAACACCCAAAGGGAAGGGGGAATTGCCTGCTACCCTCGACAGCTCCATCTTTCTCCAGAACTACTTCAGGCTCTGTGTACTTGTGTTTGGAGCTGCGGTTCTGGAGAGGGATAGAAAAGTCACACGTGAGCTCACCATCACTGTCTACATGGCATGTTCAGCAGTACATGGGTTTGAGCAGAGGACCTTGTAGCTCTGTGTAGACAGTGAAGGATCTCAAACTGGCCCAGTTATAGGTGATTATTAGACTGTTCTGGGTGATACCTTATGAAACAGTGTTTGATCTACTTAGCTTTTCTGCATAAATTTGCTTCCATTCAATTAGATTTTCCTCTATCTCACTTTTCCTAGTGAAATCAGAAAGTTGCATTTCTGGTGGCAGAATCAGGTGGACAGACCTTGTCTCCAAATAGAGGTGACAGATTGGACAGATCTGCGTTAGATTTAAATTTCCCAGAGTATCAATTTTTGTCAGTGAGCTGTTTAGACTAAGCATTAAAATAATCATTTTAGGACTAGAAAATGTTGAAGTCAGTACATGATTGCTATTTCCTTTTCCACCCATTGATGGACGAATATTTATTTAACCCTTTGGGTCTCTTAGGGATCCACATTCAGTAGAAACGCTCCAATACTTTGCAAAGGCTGTGGACTGGGCCAAGGCTGGACGGTTTTCCCAGCAGGACATCGATGAAGCCAAGTTGTCTGTTTTTTCTGCTGTGGATGCCCCGGTGGCCCCTTCAGAAAAAGGTATTTGGAGTAGCTAGCAGCACTGTGATGGTGATGTTAGCAGACAGGACTCCCAGCTCTGGGTTCTGACCATACACCTATTACCCCTTAACTCTCTGTTTCAGTCAAGTCCTCCAGGACTTGGCTTTCCTACTTGACGTAGGTGTCTCTGCCTTAAGCACATGCTTCTTGGTACCTGGGCAAGAGCATCTCAGTGTTTGCCACTTGAAAGGAGGATCCATTGTTTCAGAGCTGAGTGAGCCGCCACGTAGGAGGCTTAGTGCTCTGGACAGTGTGGCTGTCCCAGCGAGGAGATAGTCCTGGTATGAAATCTCATTTGTCCTCATCCTCACCCCCAAAGGGGAGAAGCTCCAGGGAAGCTGAAGATCATGGTTTGATGTTTGGTGGAAATGTGTCAGTAAGGTGACCACACACAGGGTCAGCACCTGTGTTCCCTTCCAGGGATGGACCACTTCCTGTATGGCCTCTCAGACGAGATGAAGCAGGCCCACCGGGAACAGCTCTTTGCCGTCTGCCACAAAGGTCTTCTCAACGTGAGCAACAAGTGAGTAAGGCCCTTGCAGTGTTCAGAGCCTGCTTGGACTTTTGAGGTTCTCCATGCAGGAGACAGTCCTGAGTGCCTCCTTCCTTTCAGGTACCTTGGTGTTGGGAAGAGCACACACGGATTGGCTATCCTTGGACCAGAGAATGCAAAACTCGCCAAGGACCCATCATGGATAATAAGATAACAAGTCTGAGCGCAGTTCAATTTGTGAAGTCAGGAAAGTTAACTGTGTTTTCATTCCCCCTAAATCTTGATCATAAATATTATTTCACCAAAGGTATCACCCTAGCAAGTGAGACCAAAATCCTTCTACAGTTTAAATAACCAGACAGTCTAAATAATCATGCATTAAGTGCCAGAGGTGTACAAATTATAATTTTAAAGACTTCTAATGATATAAATGCTTATTTTACCTTACTAACCCTAGATTATTTATTTTAAAAATAAAAAGCAACTGTAATCTACTGTGCTTTAGTCATTTTAAATGACATTTTCCTAAAGTAGTTCTTGGGACCTTTATTTAAAAACGAATGAAATGAACAAACCAAGGTATCCCAATATCTGCTTTGGTTTATAAAAAACTGGTTACAGGAAGGCCTGTCAGAAAACTAACACAAATATGCCAGCCAGCCTGACAGACCAGCGAGAACTCGGTACCTATGAGTGAGTGTTAACTGAAGCTTTTCCTACCTGGTCTGTAGAGAGGGGGGCCCTCTCTCATCCGTTAATGACATTTTTCAGATAGAAAGGGAACATCTCCGTGCTTGCTCTCCTTTATCATTTGTTTCTCAGTGCTTGAAGGGACTTAATTCAGTTGTCATCCTCTCGATAGAATGCCTGTCTCCACCATTTCTGGTTTACAAGCTGTTACCTTTCTCATCTCAGGCCACAGCCCCGAGGGACTCCAAAAGGTCACCCTAAAGGTGGGGCTGACGTGGAGGAGATGTTGGTAGCCTTGGAATCCAGTGTTTGAGCTTACCTTGTTCTTAAAGCACACGTGAGTTCTGTTTCTAATAATACACCTGGTGTCCCTTGAGAAGCAGACAAGAGGTGGATTTGGGTCACCTCTCCCAGAGCAAGGCAATTTCAGGGAGCCTGTCTCCCTTCAAAATGATGTCTGCTGTGTGCAAAACAGTTTGCTAATATGTGCAGATTCACCTTTGGTAGCGACCCACAGATCCTCAGATTTAAAAATTAGAAAACTGAAGAGAGTACTGAGTTTTGCCAAGTGTTTAATTCCACTGGGTGTGTACATTTAAAGCAGGACGTGGGGTGGAAGGTCCAGCAGAAAACTCTTGGGTCTCTTAAGGATCCACGGGCGAAGGGTACAGGTGGCGGGTATGCTGTGATTAGTATTAATGTCAACAGTACTCACATAAAGTCCTGATAAATAACTTAACTGTTACAAAAATGGGTGATAGACGGGAAATGGGAAGCATCACTGGTGGACAGGCGGGCCCCATGCGTCTAGATGGCAGCATGCTCTTCGTGGCCACTGTGCACGTCTAGCAGCTCACCGGAGTCAGACACTTCGTAGCTGGCCTTGTACTTGGCCAATATTTTCATGAGCGGCCGCAGTTTCAGCCACCACTGCTCTTTGGGGATTCTGTGGCTGTGGAAGAGGAGGGAGAGGAGGCAGGGTTGAAACCACACTGGATGCAGCAGATGCTCTGCCTGCCCAGACACAGGAAGGGGCTTTATGTAGCTTTTCCATCAAGTCTAGGTGATCATTTCATTTCTAAACATTAAGCCCTATTTCTGAGTCTTGCATCTTCTAACTTGGCTTTCTTAAACATGTAACTGAGTCACTTACAGAAACTGAAGCGAGGATTAGCACTTACTCTTGACAGCAGTGAGGTTTAGATATTATGCTTACTTACTCAAAATCTGTCTCTTTCTTTAGCTCTACCACAGGTTGGAAAAGAACTTTTCTTTTGTTGATTCCCAGCACACAGATAGAATCATCTGTTACAAATTTTCCTATAAAATAAAGAAAATGATCTAAGAACTGATAATTAGTTGTATGAACAGGTTAGATGAAATAATAAGCAGAGGAAGAAACGGTGAGGGGAAAGGAAGGCTCGCTCACTGACATGAGGGTGTAGGGCCCTGTGGGAGGAAGAATCGGGGTTTCTTGGAACCTGCCTGGGTGGAAGCTAGAGTTCCCCAGCTCTGCTGGGGGCCAAGAGAGGTGGTGAGGGACACCCAAGAGCTGGTGCTCCCCAGCTATTGCTGCTTCCTTCAGGATCAGGACTGGAAGGAGAGAGGCCATGGTGCATGCGCACCAGGGTGGTGACTGGCCTCCCTCCGCCCACACTAGTCCTGGTGGTGATGCGGGTGATGGAACAGTTGATGGTGAGTGACTACTTCACTAAATACCAGAATAGGAAAATTGGCTTAAATTGTAGGAAAAAAGGCTGAGAGTTAATGAGATGAGTACTCATAGATGAATTGGAAAAAAGAAAATATATAACCAAGAAGGAAAAACAGAAAAACAGAAATTAACACAGAAAACTCAAAAAAGAGTTTTCTCATCTGCCAGCCTGTCTCAACATTAACGCCGCCTCACCCCTGTCCCCCATACCTTTTCCCTGAGATGTCTTCAGTTTCTCAGTGATCCACTGCATGGCTCTAGCAGAAATTTTGGTTCCAAAGTTCCTATCAAATGGAGAAGGCGCTCCGCCCTGTTGGTGGTAATGTGAAATGTTAGATACGCAATGCCACCTTCCTGGCTGCTGCTTTCTAAAAGTGAATTAGAAATTAAAGTTATTGTTACTTAACAAAATTCACGTAATTTTGAGAGACCAAATTTGTAAAGCTAGGTTTTGTGGTTTTTTTTTTTTTTTTGTGTGTGTGTGTGTGTATTTCTGTCTTGTGTCTAGTTGGAACTAACCAAACACAAACCCTGTGACTTGTGTAACCAGAGGTTAGCCTTTGAAACTTTTAATCCGTGGGACCAGTCCACTGGCAGTGGGCACTGTCTTAGAATCCTCTAACCTTGAGTTAAGAGGTTCATACTTTCCTTCAAAAATATGAACTCAGGACTCATTTTCACAAAAATACACATATGCCTGCATTTCATCAGGAGATTCACTGACCTTCTGAAATGAATTAATGGGGTCTAGGTTAAAGGGGAAGGAGCAGGCAGAGTCTTGGTCATCCTAAGCAACTCCAGCTTTGTTATCTAAGGCACCCTTACAAATTAGAACATCTCAAGATGCTTTCCAAATCATTCCAAATCATTCTGATTTTGTGCAAACCTCAAATAAGTATTTGACCTTCCATTTAACTAATGATGGCCCAATATCTAATGGGGCACTTAATTTGAATAAATTTTTCTAGTTAACTGGCATCACTAATTCTGTAAAAGTTGATAGGATTTCCTTAAAAAGTTCCATCTGCCCAAATATTGCAAACAGATAACTCCCAAAACTGATTTTTGGTTTAACTTTAAAATGGTCCTGTAACAGTCTAGATGTTTTTTTAAATCTTCTGGGAATGTGCTTATGAATACACTTTTCTTTCCAAATGGTTAAAACAAAACACTGGTCTGAAACCAGTCCATGGCTAACACCTTCCTCTCCGGGGGTGTGCCCCCCGGATCCAGGCATCGGAGAGGCCCCACCTGCTGCATGTGGCCCAGCACGTTCTTTCTGCAGTCGAACACGCCCTTGCCTTCTTCCGAGTAGAGTTGGTAAATGAAGTCAGTGGTGTAGTTTTCACTGCAGCTTTCATTTCTGAAATGATTGGAAGTGGCCGAGTTAATCAGAGCAGGGGTTAGGGACTTAGGAGCTTCTGGCCCAAAAGGTAGCTGGGAGTTTGAGGCCCACTGAGCACTGGTGACCTGTGCCAGCTTGACCACCCCAGCCCTTTGACAGCCCAAGACCCTGTGAACAACAGACAGTATGATTTGGAGAGATCTTAAAAAAATAAAATAAGCTACAAAGCAAAAATGTTTTAAAAATCACCACTTCACAATTTAAATGCATGCCCTTTTATAACACAACACACAGCTACTCTTTCTTAGTGTTCAGCGTGAGAATCATGGCAGAGAATGGTTCTTTTCAATCAAATAGGTTCTGACAAGCTAGGTCAGGGATAGAGAAAGGTTTGCCATTACCTGAGCACCAACCCTCGCTGGATAGTGGTCTTCATCTTCTGTGTCAGGTGCTCCACGTTGGACTAGAAAAGAGTGTTCTGTTAACCCAATACCTTTTACTCACCACCCGCTGTGTGCCAGGCACTGTAGGAGCCTACGCCTACGTGCTGAAACTAGCAGTGGGCAAGTCTACATTTCAGTGGAGGGGGCAAAAGACAAAGGAGAACACACCATGCGGGAAAATGCAGTGGGGTGACTTTGATAACAAGGTTATGCATCCCCAGGAGGTAGGGATAGGAGTGACATACTCAGCATGTTTATTTAGTCAGCAGAACTTAAGCTTTTCCAAATAAATAGATCTTCTTACATATATTCTATATACTTGGCCTGAGGCTTATCCACTGCTCCACGATCCTTATCATTTTACCATTACAATATTTTCTTTCTAAGGAAAATAACTCTCCATTACATCTTTATGTTCAATCTCATGTAACTGCCTAATGACCATTTCAGATGAGAGAATTTTTTACTGACTCAAATTTGTCCACAAATTTTGTAAGGAAAGAAATACTCTATTTTGAGAGGAAAAACATGCAAAAAGATATTTACAGGCAAGCAAATCTCAGCTGTTATTACAATTATTATCTGCTATGTGCCAGGAACTGCAACAGTGTTGGCCAGGCATCTTCTTTTGACAGGCTTTTTAAATTTTTAATTCAGTCTTGTAAAGAAATTCATAGGTGAAGATAAATCATTTATTAAAAAAAACAAAAAACTCTCTCTCTCTCTCTACCGGATATATTTGGCTCAAAAACAGATGAAGATAAAATCACAACTATTTATTTATGAGCCATATTTGTGGTTCTGTATATTTCAGTTGAGTTTTCATTGCTAACTAGCCCCTCCATCCTACGGAACAGATTTTGGCATCACCAAAGTTGTCCTTGAGCACCTTGGGGCTGGGAGCAAGGGCAGCCAGCAACACAGAGCCAGGTGCTGCCCCCTCCCTGCTGGCTCTCCTTCCCCTCCACACCCATGACTCCTTCAATCCCTGAAGGGGGACTGGGCAATCTAACTAATGGTTCGCTCTCCCAACCAGCACTTCCCCCAAAAAGCTGGGGGAACAGAGAAACCTGCATCAATTTAGAAGGCACCTGTGACCTTATGAAAGGAGCAAGTGGCAACACAGGAGTGAAGCTGTACACTTGGGTACTCAGGATGTGGAGACGTGGCCACATCTTCTAACAAATGTACCGCTTGGTGGGGAACACCGACTGTGTGGGAGGCTGTGCTGGGTCGTGACAGAGGCCTGCAGGAAAAATCCCTTGCTATGAACCTAAATCTACTTTAACAAAATACTACTAGTAAGGTGGTTTTTTTCTTGAGCATGTAGCAGGAAAGAGGAGGCTAGCTTTGTCCCCATGTTTTACTTGACATCTGAGCCCACTGTGCCATGTCCCCATGAGTCTAGCGTCCCCACAGCTCTAGCTGTTTGTGGCTGCTGGCATTTAACAAAAGCCACTCCGGGGCAGCACAGGAAGGGGGGCTGCAGCCACTGCAGAGCATCCCAAACTCAGACCCATAAGGGCACCCAGGAGCCAGGATCGATCTATATAGTCCAGAAGGCCAAAGAGACTGTTTATGTACAGCAGCTGTTTATGGAATACCAGGTCCCATTTGAAAGGTCCATGCAGCAGGCCGCAATGCAAAAGCCTACCCGGAAGCCCACCTGGGGGGCAGGAATGCAGATACCTGCCTGGAGGACTCAGACAATGAGCCTCCCCCCTCCCTCTACGAGTCTCCTCTCAGACAAAGAACCTATACCTGCCCTACAAACTTTTCCCGCCATAGGAGCCCAACTACCCACCTGACCTCTCCTCGCCCTATAACACCCTGCTTCCCCCTAACAATGCGCGCGGCTTCACTGACCCCCGCCTTGGGTGCTTGAGGTCCGCCCAGGGCGCAATAAACTTTCCCTCCCTTTGAGAAATGTAGCCTGGCTCTCCTTTTCTTTACTGCGCCGAACCTTTCACCATTCAGCACCAATGTCCAGATTAATGACCTGCCTATGAGAAATGCTAACGACATAGTGGATGAGATAATGCAAGAGGCAAAAACATACAAGCTCGTGTAAGGAGGACAGGCACTTTGAAGCATGTTTGTTCTCACTGTCCTGATACTGAAGGAGTCCTGCACCGGGACCTCCCTGGGCTTGATGAGATGGGCCGTTGGAAGGTCATATAGTTCAATATCCTTGTCCCCTCCCACCAAACTGATCAGATGGGAAGCAGCAGCAAAGGCCCAAGGGCCTGTGCTTACCTGTAGATCTCTGATATCAAAGGGCTCTTCAAAAATGTAGGCTGCATCGGCTCCTGCGGCGAGGCCCCCCATGTTGGCCAGGTAGCCACAGTAGCCCCCCATGGTCTCGATGATGAACACACGGCGCTTGGTCCCACTGGCCGACTGTTTGATGCGGTCGCAGGTCTGGTCACAGGAGGACATGGGTCATTTGAGGCAGGTGCAGGATAGGCCAGAGCCCCATGCCCCCCGCAAGCCCAGCAGGTCCTATTATGTGTCCCCAGCTCTGGGCCGTTGCAGGCACGGCCCTGACCTTGGTCAGTGTGATCAGTCCCTGTGATGTAAGAGCTGCCCATTGCAGCAGACCTGATCACTCCTCCCAGGGGCCTTGGGAAGACCAACAGACCAGCTCGTCTACCTGCCAAGGCAGCCTGCAGGATATGAGCATGTTAGACTGTGTGGGTTTAGCCAATGGGAATTTGTGATTTTCTTTTGAAAAGTTCTCTGTGAAGTCTGGATTTTGGTCAGCCGCACTCTCTCCCTCAATGTTACAGCATGTCTAGCATCGCTACTCAAAGTCTGGTAGTGGTGGATTCTTAGACAAAAACACCCAAGTCTTCCAGACACTTAGAGTAGGTCCCCTAAGGCCTGGTTGGGGACACAAGCTCGGGAGGAAAAAAAAAACCACCACCACAAAAATCCACTTGCTCCCCTCTCTAGACAAGCCCACTCTCCTTCAGGTCTTGTAAAGTCTCTGACCTAGCTCAGTCCATGAAAAACGCACTGGACCTCTGGCCCTGCTCAGCACCTCCTTTAACACCATTCTCAAGTGTGACACAGCCTTCACATGGAGTGTCTGGCCTGCCCTCCAGCTGCCATCCCATCCCTACTGTGCCACCCTGTTCTCGTGGCTCCAAGACAGTGGCCCCATAGGTCAGCAAGGCCCTAATTCCTGTACTGGACTGTTTGCTTACATGGTGATTAATTCCAGGAGGGTGAGGGGGAGATGATCCTAGATTATCTGGTGAACATGGATATAAATGTCAGTGTCCTCAGAGAGGCAGGATCCACGAGATACCCAGGAAGAGGCACAGGATGCTGGAAGTGCCCGTTGGCAGGTTGTGAGATGAATAAGGACCAGGGACTATGCCAGCAAAGGAACTAACATAATTTCTTTGGGAAATCCAGCTACTTCCTGGGCATAGACGAGAGTATCTACAAGGAGCCTCGTGAGAGTCCCTGTCCTTTCATCCCAGAGATGGCCAAAGCACATCTCTGCAGTCATTTGTCATTGTGATCTGGTGCATCTTCCTCACTAAGATCGCAAATTCCATGAAGACAGGAATCACAGCTTGGATGGACTCTCACCTCTGCCACAGCAGCAGCCCCCAGCTGTGTCTTTCAACACAGCAGGTGCCCATATCAGCTACCAGCAACCAGTGGTACAGGAGGCCCTAAGTGAGTCTGCAGGGAAACCAATAGGGTGGAGGCAAGGAGGCCAACCAAGCTCATGGGTCTTTGGGGAAGGGCAGTGCGTGCTCCAAAGTGTACCACCACCAGTGTGGGAACTCACTCCAGTACCTTGAGTTACATATAAAAAGAGAATTTTGGTTTTCAAACACAAGCTCAATTAAAATCACTCATAACTATACTTTAAATTTCTTTGATGGGTCCTCACCCTTACAAAAGAGACTGATTCAAAATTCAGTATGTGCTTTAGTTGGTGGGCAACTTAGTGTCTCTAGAAGCTGAGAAGGGGAGAAATAAGCATCAGTATTATAGTTTTTGCTGGTGGTTGCACAGGGACAGGGGGTGAGAACCTGACAAGTATCTGGAGAACCCACACAGGCCGGCGTGGGTTTTCCTTGTGGACATCATTGGATGTCGTCTATGACATTCAAGTACTGAAACCTCCCTGCGTAGTCTTTGTTTCCAAGGAATTCTGTGCGGTGGGGAAGAACAGGGCTACATTCGTGGACCACATTCCAGGTCCCCTACCATTGCAAAATCACATGCATTCTATTTCCAACTGACTCTCCCCAGCATGCCACCCTAAGGCAGAGAATTATTGTCACTTAAGTTATTGCAGAAAAATGTTATAATCCCTTAATGGAAAATAATATGCTGGCAAAAAGGCTTTCATAAGGCTACCCTGAGCATGTGCCTCTCAGCTCTGATGAGGACGGCAAAGATGAAGGGCCCCAGTGGACCCGGCAACCGAGCAGAAGCCCCAGGGTTCTGTAAGCCACAGAGCAAGAACAGCAGTGGAGGGCTGACACTCAGCCTTTGTTTAGAGCTTAAACAGGCTGTGACTAAACACCTTCTCTTCTCTTCGGCACATCAGTGTATCCAGCAGTTTGAATCCTGTCTTTTAAAGATAGTCATCACAGCCAGAGTTACTAGAAGTAGCCTTGACGCGAGGCCACAACACCAAGTATGACCTATGTGGGGCTGGCAGCTCTTGGGGGTGGGGGGGTTCTCTGACTTTAGGGGTGAGAGGAAGGAATAAGGCACTGATGCCCCCTGCTTGCCCAGACCATTTGTCATCACTGTGCCAGTGTCCCCTCCCACCAGATCCCGACAACCTGCATTTGGTGAATGATTTCAAGGAAACTGCAGGAAAAACTTGTACAAGTTCCACCACTGCTAACTTTTTCCTGTACTGATATTTAAAAAATATAAAATCAAGTATGAAAAGATAAAATGGAGTTCGGACAGTGTAAAATAGGGGAAAAGCCACAGTCTTAACGACCACAGTCCTACTCTGTCACGGAGTTCTCAGGTTAGTCTCCTGTGACAAATATTCTCAGAAGTGAGTCAGCAGAACCTGGGCGACCAGACCAGATGGGCTGGGCCTCACCCACAAGGCACAGACTGAGGGCAAAGCCGGGACAGAGGCCAGGTGCAATGGGAGGGTGAGAGCAAGTGTGATCACCCGGGGGCGTCAACGATGCCATGGGGCCTCGAGGGATGGCCGCACTTGCAGCCTGGGCCACTCCATGCATCTGTCCAGCAAAGAAACAGAACCTAAGGAGGTGCTGTGCTGGCCCACGGCACCCCTCACTTGGCGAGGAGCCTCATGGAAAGCACTTCAGAAAAAAAGGAGGCCAGTTACCTCTTGGCAGCAAGCTCTGAGAAAACAAGTGACAAGCTTAAGATGTGCATCACTTTATGAGTCAGAGACAAGACACCATAGATTTTAGACAGCAGGTGACCTTTCCTCCCCTATCCCAATGTGGTATCTCAGCGCAGGAGAATCGACCTGGACCCAGGCTGTTCTAGGTCTGTGCCAGGCTGAACCAAGGGGCTCTCCAATAGAATTAGGGCTCAGCAGGCAAACGGTGGAGCCCACCTAGATATGGGTATCTCAAGAAAGAGGCCGAGGTCACCTTCTGGGTGATCAGTGATAGGGCCTGGACGTGGCCACCTCTTTTGTTACGGGATTGCTACTCCCCATAGCACAAGTACACTGGGGCCACCAGAGCGCTCATGTCCGGTCACTGACCACAGGCCTGGTGACACCAAAGCCTGGCATGGAGCAGAGTGGGGTGGGCAGGGCTCACCTACAATAGAAGCACCAGCTTCAGCCCTGGGCAGGGGCTGCTGAACCTGTCACACAGCTGGGCAGTGTTGCACTGATGCAACCTCCTGAGATGATGCTATTTCAACTCCAGCAGCACCTCACTTCACCACCAAGGAGGTACTCAAGCCAATGGGGCCTGCTCTGGCACCACATACCCACCCACCCCAGTGCCTTCAGATACATGTCCCTCCCTATGTGCTGTTCTGGGGTCCCCTCTAGCTGCCGCACACCTGGCTGTGCCTCTTGGGCATAAGAGGTGGCCCCCCAGCGTACCTGTGAAACCCCAGGCCTCTTGTGCAAGAGGCAGGGAAGTGGAAATTCCACCCAGAGCACTGATAGAACATCGGAGTTTTGATAAGATAGATTCTCCGTAGAATGGAGAAGCTAGGATAACTCACCCCAGCCTGTAAAGTGTGATATCAACTCCAGCTAATAGGGGGAAAAAAAGGTAAATAATAAATATGGTTCATTTATCCTGAAAGACTAAATAGGTATCCCCTTTCTGGCAGTCTCCTTGGGGAACAGAAACAAAATGTGGGAGCAAATAAAATGAGTGTCATTGCGCTTACCTCTACAATCGCATTCATGCTGGTATCAGAGCCCAGACTTATCTCTGTGCCTGGGATGTTGTTGCTCATGGTGGCAGGCAGGACACACATAGGCAAGCAGAATTCCTGGTGGCTGCTGCGGGCATCACCCAACATGATCATACCCTCATAACCCTGAAGCAGCAGTGTGGGTGGTTAGTGTGGCATCTGCCCCCCTGCTCATCATCAGGCAGGGGCTAGAGCTTGACAAAGCATCAGGGAGGACACCACTTGCTAGGGGGCATTAGTGAGCTCCGTTTCCCCAGTGGGTGAGAGAGAAGTGCCAGTGATGCAGAAACTGGGGGGCAGGGGGACTCCAATAATGCCTGGGGAGTGATAGGAGGGCTCAGTGCCCAGCATGGAGGGGACACAAGCATGAAGGCAGCAAAGCAGGGCCAGGATGGCACAGGGTGTTAGTGGTTAGAGAACAGTGGTTCTTTCTAGGCATCTCGAAGCAGGTGAGCAAAGGCATGGCTGGGAGAGTGTATGTACCGATTTAATCTTGTGACTTTCTGCAGTAGGCGGGGCACAGGTGCCTGCTGCAAAACTATGCAATAACCCCACATTCCTATTTCGGGCCACCCTATAGTCCCCCAAGGCAGACATGCAGTTAGAGCATTTGGGCCCGTAGCTGGGTGCCCTTCTGCTCTGAAAGGCACCCTGTCCCTGCCAAGCCTCCTTTGCAATTCTGACATGAAGCAGCAGATAAAACCAAGAACGCCAAACTACTCTGGAATCCAAGGTCGAACTGTAACTCTGATGTCAAAAAAGTCAGCTGTTCCTAAGCACATGGATGGGGGTTTGCATTAGCTGCCTCGGGTGTTAGTAAAACAGTGGACACAGGCCCACATCCACCATCCCTAAACCCACAGAGCTCCAAACAGCAGGGGGTGGGTTTTGGTGGGTCATTTCTTGTCTTTATTCCACTCTGACTATTCTCCATTTTGCTGCCTAACACTAAGTTTCGAAGCAGGTAGCACCCAAGCCTCCCCAGAAGGCATGTCCTCCATTACCTCTTAGCACCCCAAACATGTTCAGGGCGGCTATGGCCCAAGGATGGTAGGGTGGGCCTGAGTAAGTTAGTGCACTGAGTGGTAGGGATGGAGGGGAGGTAGGCACTCACCACCGGCACCAGACCCTGAATTAGCAGCTCTGCCCACCCTCAGACTCCACGTCACCAACTCTACCCACCTGCGACCAGCTTCACTCAGTGTCCCCACAGACCCCGCCTTCCCGACCTGTCCACCTCAGTCACAAAGCAGAGACCTGGAGGCCCCTGCCCTGGAGACAAAGGTCTTATCCAGATCCTGGGGCGGCGCTGCCTCAGGCTCTGACAGAGAGATCTCACAACTCTACAAAGCCTCCGTGAATATTCACAGTCCTCCACATTCACGTTGAGAAGAGTGGTTTTTAAGGAAATAATCATGGTTCTCCTAGTCTCTATAATCATACCTCTGGGCCATCAGCAGGACTGTGGCTGCTGCTACCTTCTCAGCATTGAGAGCAGCACAGGGCACAGCTCATGTTTGCTATGTTTTGGGTAAAAGACAAACGGGTCAGTTCTGTGGGATAAAAACCTGCCGCTTAAAAAGCCTGTAACCACAGTGTGAGTGTTTTCTAAACACCTGTTCTGAGGGATCGATTTTGTGCTGCTCCCTCCTAACACATGAGCACGCTGACACTGGTGTCCAGTGAAGCCCCGTCAGCCAAGCACTAATGGTGGCAAGAAGAAGAGACTTTGCAGGTTTGTCCACCTCAGCACCGCTCACCTTCTGGGAGGGCACCTCCAGGTAGGAGCTGTCCTGTCAGCGTGGCTTCCAGCAGCACACTGACCTCCACCCATGGGATGCCAGTGGCATACCTTCACCCAGTTCTGACCACCAGAAATGTCCCCAGTTCTGGCAGCTGTCCTCTGGGGGCTAAACTCCCACCCAGTGAGAATCACAGAGTGTGAACAGGAGCAGTTGGCACTGGAGATGCTGGGTTGCATCCTGAGCGCTTCCTGGCCAAGCACTGAGGCAGACAGAGCCATGTTATAGACTATGGGCCCAGATTCTCAGGCCACCTGAGAAGGAGATGTCTGGCAAGGAGAACCGAGAAGGTGAGGGACTGATGCTCACCTCACACTGCTCCTTCTGCCCAAGATTCCCTAGGTCCCCGGTAGCATCGGGAGGGACCCAGGGCACCGATGCCATCCTCAGACTCCTCCCTCCCTGCACATTTCCTGCTGACAATGCCACCCCCTTCCCTTTTCATGGCCAGTCAGCCCATCCCAAATCTAAATCTCCCTCAAAAGATTCAACTTCACTGTAGCCAGAAGAGCGAGGGCTGCAGTGTCACCACGTCCAGGCTGCCCACAGTCCTCTGTGCTGACTTCCACTACGGAGTCACTGCCTGCTTATCCCTGATCACAAACCAGAACCAGGACTTAGACTCTGAGCCTCTGAGCAACTCCATCACTCACCTGGGTGGGTCAGCAGGCCTGGTACCTGCACGAGCGCAGCCTAGTTTATCACTGGTTACCCTGGCTCTGAGGAACGCAATGGAAAACTGAATTCAAGATAAAGAATAAATCTCAAAATCCCTCAGGGAGCAAGGATGGATAATTGGAAGCTTTTTCCCCTACATATTTTGGTTTTCAAATATTTTGGCTTTCAGATGTAACAATACATATGAATTATATCTTTGTAATCTGGAAAACAATTCCATTGTGGAGCCTGGAATGTGAGAGAGGGCGTCGTGTCTTTGTGCTGTGAGTGCACGTGAATCATGGCAGGGAGATGAACACCGACCTCGGTCAGGACCTGCAAATGAAACTTGTCACCGGCTCACCCACCCCAAGACCAGTGCTAATTAAGTAGCAATTAAGAAAAATGAACATTCAGTTGTTTCTACTGCAAGGTCAGCAAAAGCATGTTCAAAATGTAGCTGAGGCAGGGAGATAAGCACTGAAACAAATGAAGTTCATTTCTCGACAGACAGTGACCTTACAGCATGAAGACCAGGAGCTGAATTAACTCAACAGCAGCGCAAGTAGGACACAGTCAGCACAGCGCAGGCGGGACAGGTGATGGCAATGAGGACGCTCCAGCAGGGACACAGGTGACACAGGTGGAGCTTTTTAGTAAAGAAATTGCAGAAAGTTTAAGAAGTGCAGAAAAGTGAGAAACCAGTGCTAAGCATTACATACCATTTTTGATTTTTCAAAGCGTTTCCTTTTTATTTACCAGTACTAGAAACAAATGGGATGCCACAGGTGGAAGGAAAAAAAAAATCTCAAAAAAATATTTAAGAGATCTGGGCCTCACAAGGAAAATGAAACTTGAGAATTGATGGAGAAATTTTAGTCACTGAATTAAAAAAAAAAAAAAAAAGAGCGATCCTCAACTCCCATGTGATTTCTCAGGTGTGATTTACAAATAGGATTATAAAGATGTTATTTCTGTTTCGTTTTGCCTTTCAGTAAAAAGACTGAAATAGCATCCCTAGTATTTTAGATGTCGCTAACATCACCAATTACAAAGGGAGAAGGAATTTGGTGGCCACAGTCAAAAGTTTCACAAATTCAATGGTGGATGCAGGCTAATCAGTAAAATAAAGTGTTTAGTTCAAGTTTTACTCTGAAACATTCAAGTAGGAGCGACTACACCCAGGATTTATCACAATAAGGTGTACAGGCTTGATACCATTTGGTTTGTCCAAAGGAGGAAAAAAAAAACCCCACTTTAATGATTATCCGAATCACAAAAAGTGGTGACCTCCACCCCATGTGCTCTTCAGATGCTCCTGGTCACTCCATGGGCCTGGGCATTGTTCTGGCCACGGTGTAGGAAAGGAGGTGGTGGAAATCTTGGAAACTGGATCAGAGATGGTCAGATCTTTTACTATCTTTCTGGAAACAAAACAAGCCCAGACCTCGCTCAGGTTTCTAGTGTACTGGTAGATAAAGAAGCGGGCCAGGTGCCCTCTGGGTTAGTGTCCACGGCACCTGCTTTGCTGACTACATGGACTTACGTCGGTGATGGTATTCAGGGCCGTGTCTGCACCGATGCTGAAATCAGAGCCCGGCACGTTGTTGGAGACAGTGGCAGGGACCATGACCATGGGCACACAGAGCTCCATGTGATGCTCCCGGGCAGCTGAGAGCTCTAGCAATCCCAGGTAGGCCTGCAGGTAAGTGTGTGCAGTTGTGGGGAAAGAAGGGGGAGCAGAGAGAGGGATATTGATGGACCACTAAGAGAATCCAGGTGAGAACACATTAACATCACAGACAGGCACGAAGGGGACCACAGGCAACATCTTGTAGACGCCAGATCACATTTCTTCAGGGTGAGAGTTTGACTAGGGTGAGGCTGCTCAGGGTGAGGCTGTTACATATTCTCTACATAAACTGAAAGGTGATATTGGCACTGATCTGGGATGAGCAGAAAATATTAAGGCCAGCAGCCCTGGTATATAATTTAAAAAATTTAAACAAACTGCCCATAAAACTCCTTTCCTTTCTGAGTCACCAAAGGGCTTCAATTTAAGAGACAGAACTCACTGATGGTGGAGCTCAGGCAAGGTGTCAAGCTCCTGCTTCTGGACTGAGTCACTTTCCTAGCACTGGGTGGGCTCATACTTCGTCTGGACCGTGATGTTGTCTGTATCACGAGTGTCCAGTGGCAGTCGAACTTGGGGTGCTATGACCACCTTCAGTGAAGAGTAGCAGCCAGGACCATGCTGGCCAGCAGCTGGCCAGAGGCACTGTTCAGACATGCCGCACCAAGAGCTAGTGGGGGAACAGACAACATACCTCAAATCCTCCGATGATCAACAGTGCGTTGATGTTGTGGGTGCGGATCTGTGCTGCAATTTCCTCCAGATACTTTTTAGGCAGTGTACTGAAAATCAAGAGACAAGGTCACCCCCAGCACCCCAACAGGACCCACTTAACTCCTGCCCCTGACCAAACCAAGTGGCACTATAACCATCTGCCTCCCTCCTCATGGGGGGTTGGGGAGGCCCAGAGTGGCATGTTGGGGAACCACACAGTGAGTCTCGGGGTACATTTTCAAATTAACTGGAAGAAACTTTGCAATTGTCCAGCGGCTTGAACTCTACTACCTCATTAGAAACTCTACTGCCTTGGGCCTCCCTGGTGGCGCAGCGGTTGAGCACTGGGCTGCGAAGCTGTCCACAGCCTCTGCAGCGCCGGCTCGATCCCCAGTCGCCGGGCGAGGGTCCCACATGGCGCGCAGACCTCTCCTGCCGCCCACTGCTCCCCTCAGCAGTGTACTTCGGTCCTTCTGCCTGCTCTGCTCCCTGCTCTGGCTCTGGTGAATTCTCTCACCCTCCCGCGCCTCTGACTGTACCTAGTGCTTGTATAAATAAAGAAATAAATCTTTAAAAAATAAAAAAAAAGAAACTCTACTGCTCAACAGAAAGATTGAGAATGTTCCCAGCAATAATTGTCTGAACCTTCCAGTTCCCAAGTCACACATATATGGCATGTCCCATCTTAGCTCCTTTAAGGTCATACCCACTGCCACTTGCCAGTCTTCTCTTTTTTCCCCCCTTGTCAAGGATGGCCAACACAAGAATCAGGCAATGACAATGGCTATGCAGGGTCCCAAAAGCCTGCCCAGCGCCCAGCCCCATCCTGCTGTTAAGCTGACTTGGGGCAGTAGAGAATTCATAGGTTTGGTAGATTTGTGAGAAGTTGTAAAGTGAAATGTCAGAACTGGGATTAGTTGGGGCAGTAAGTGAGCCCAATGGGCGTGCACAGCCCCCTCAGTCTGGGGTAAAGCACTGAGTATGTCCAGACTGAGCTAGCATGTCACCCCTCAGTGCACCCAGATTACTCCCAGGTCTATTCGGAAAGCAAACCACACTCGGGGGGTGGGGAGGGGTGTCACAGTCTGAAGAGGCCCAGGAGGCATGCCAACAGGTCCTCTTCTTCTAGGTGGAACTTTGTTCAGAACACAAGTATGAGCATTCTGGGAGACACAGGACTGCTACACCCAGGGGGCACCCAGGTTTCAAAGTGGAACAAAGGGCAAATTCCTTGCCGTGTCTGCAGTAAGCAGACATGGATGAGGAAGCCAACACTATTATTTTTTTTTTTAAGCCTTAAAGTTTTTATTGCCCAAATATTTCCATTTGCGGAAGCCAACACTATTAGACCCAAACGTTACTTCCCTCCCATACAAAATGGGATATGCAGTCGCGACGGGTGTTAACACTTGTACCCTGAGGTCAAGATATAAAGAACTGGGCTTAGTGTTAGACAACAATTCATTGAAATTCCCAGTTCCCAAGTCCTACTAGAAACAGGAGTTTGTTGTAACTTAGAAACATTTTTGTTTGCAATCACTCAGGGGGCATTTCTGCCGTGTGATCTGGGCTTCGGCATTGTGTGTTCAAGTCTGCTATCCCCACAGACACAGATGGAGACACCGCCAGCCTGACTCTGGTTTGAGTAGCACATCCCACTGCCCATGTCATCACTTAACTTTATCACCTCAAATGAGAGCATTGTGTCCACCCGATGAAGCTTCAGACCAATGGCAACAAGTGATCATGGGAGAGGATCCTCCCCAACTTATCTGCTTGCTCTCTTCCCCAGGGTCCTTGTCTCATGTATTCCTTAAAACACAACTCAGACTCCCCGGGGTGGGCAGGACAGGCCCAGAAGAATTCCTTTCCTGGAAACTGAAAGCACAGCCTGTCTACCAGCCACTCTCTTCGGGAACAGGGCTTATTCCTCTTCCTAGCAGCAGATCAGGGTCAAGATGGGAATTACCGTTTTGTCCCAAGGATGGAGCCTCCTTGGCCAGTCCAGCCTCCGACATCTGCCCAGCCGATCTCTTTGATCTAAGTGCAAACACAGAATGAAACTGTAACTGGAAGAGAAAAGGGTCAGAGAGTTTTAGAAACACCTCAGATGTCTGCACCCTTGACAGGTGCAGAGACTGCTGCAAGGACTGCTGAAGCCTCATGACTGCCTCACCTTGACAGCAGCATTTCAGCACCTGTCCCCTTCCACCTGATGTCCACTGGACCCTAGAGCTATCTACTGCCCTTGAGAACACTTGAAACTATGTTCTATTCTGAGCTCAACTGGCAGGTCTAGAACAAGCATTAGGACAGGATTCCAAAATAGAAGCTTTGCATTAAAAAGCAATAACTGTTCAGCCCATTAGGGAACCCTAGGTTCTAAGTCCTGGAAGGTATGTTCCCATCCGTGATGTTCCTTCTCCTGGCACCACCTCAGGGACTCACCTGGCCTTTGGCGAAGCCCTCAAAGCCATCGTAGATGGCGAACATCTTGTGTCCATCCGCAATGCCCATGCGCACTGCTGAGCGCACGGCTGCGTTCATCCCAGCGGCAGGTGCACCCACATTTATGACAGCAACGTTACAGTTACTCTGCAAATGGAAAAGGCATAAGCCCCCATCACTGGGTGTGTCCCAGCCTGTACTTGCACAGGCCAGGGAGGGAACCCGGGCCCAGATGCTCAGACTGGAGGGGCACAGCTTCCTGGGTAGGAAAGGACTGCAAAGGGAGGGTGGGGAGTGGGGCTGGAGAGCCAGCGTGCAAAGACCTCCTACCTTTGGGATCTGAGAGTCTGGCAATTTGATGGCAAGTCGCTTGTAGGTGTTCAGGTTGTTTTCAAAGCTCCTAAAAGAAACGGAGGTTGTTGGGGTAGCACATGAGGAATGTCTCAGTGAAAGGGCTGCAAAGAACTGTGTGTAGCATGCTAGTTTTGTGTCCTGGCTGCCAGGGGAGGGAGGGTCCCATCTGTAGCCCTGTCCTGCAAGCCCTGGGAGGGACCCCCACTGTTCTCTACTTGCAGCAGCAGCTCTGTGACTAGGATGCCTTAGGTTGCTTTTCCTACATGCAGAGTATGTCATTTTCTGTCTTATCTCTTATATGCGGAGCAAACCTCCACCCTGCCCAAAATAATTTCTAACTAATCATGTAGGCCTTCAACCTGCAGAAACTTGCTTTTTGTACTGCCTTCATGTTTGGCCCTTTATATTGAGACAGAACAAGTGCAACTTCTAAGCACATTCTAGATGGCCACAGCAAGGAACAAAGGCTCTCAATAGAGATTTCTTCAAAAACACTCACCTTCCTCGGAGCTGCACAGCATCCTTAAATCTCCTCTCATCCATCGCCTTCTGTACATCCTGGGTCTGTAGAGCAAAACAAAAGAGCAAGAAGATGTCAAGAGTCAGCGCCTCCATGGCTGTATGTATAGGTGTCGGGGGTGTCAGATGAGCACATTCGTGGCCTTTGGGGGGAAGGCATCTGTGGGGCAAAGCTTGAGGACTCCTATACATTGGTGTCACCAGCCTCATCCCTTCAACTTGAGGATCTTGGCCAAGTTATTCATCTCTCTGCACTTAAGTTTCCTCATCTGCACAATATGAAAAAATAATCCCATCCCTAATGTCATATGCAGTTGTAAGGACATACCAGACCCTTAGGAAAAGCCTGACAACAAGTGAGTTGGTCACTAGGGTTATGTGAACTGTCTGACTAATGCAACATACTATGCAGCTGTTTGAAGGACAAGCCAAATCATTCCTGCCTTGTGTTTATCTAAATCAACAGAAACCTGGACCGAAGAAATAAGTTAAGAAAAAAACAAGAAAAACTTACGGCACAAGAGTTTGGTGTCCAGATCCTTTTAAGCCTCTCATGTCACATTCACATTTACATGAAGGTAGCCCACCCCTCCCCCTCACACACACACACTTGAGATGCACACACATGAACGTACAGAGAAACCTGCACGCACAGTTCACACGTACAAACACTCACACGATAGACAAAGTTCACATGTACAAACACAAACACACTCACAGACAAAGATTCACAAGCATCACACACTCTCATAGGCTTTTCGAAATGGTGTTTCTAAGGTTACTTCCAACAAGTTCCTTTATTACTTAGTTAACTGTATTTATAGCAAATAAATTTCATGGTCTCTGGAAAGATATAATAAAATGATATTCATGAATAGACTTTGAAAAATAAAAGGTTAAAATAGTAATGTCTGATGAGATGCCACTGCTGCCTCAGCTAACAGACATGTAACTAGAAAGTTCTAACCCGTTTTCCTCAATCTGTTAGCCTGCACTCTGGGGCTAGAAGGAGACAATGCCCGTGAGTAAGTCACCTGAGTTAGCCGGCATGTGTCACATCACAGACCTGAGTGTCTGAGGGGTGCGGAGGCAGGCAGTGGCTAAAGCTTGAGGCTCAGCAATGTCCCCCTGCATTCCCATGACAACCTCCCACCAACTCTCAACAAGGCCTTTCTCCTCCACCACCTTTCTTTGACTTTCTGACTGAAATGCCTGAGATCCTCTGAGAACGCTCCTCCCTGAGAGTCCACTTACTCTCAAGGGAGGTTACTAATAGGTTCATAGATGTGCTAACTTAGAATGGAGAAAGGAAAAATGGAGCCCACAGGGCAGCTCCTGTGCCTCTGAAGGGTCATTTAACTCCCTGCTTTGCAGACAAGAGGGCAGCGTGGCTGTGGGGCAGAGCTCACCATCTGCACGCACTCCACCAGGGGCAGGCGCACGGCCTGGTTCCCGCTCAGCGACACCACACAGGCCGGGGTCTCTGGGGTGGCCTGGAGAAGGGCGACCACGGCCTCCACGCCCATGCGGCTGGCCTGGAAACAACATCACAGAGGTCAGACAGGTCAAGTCCACTTCCTTCCCCTCCCCCAACCCCCACGCCAGACTAGCCCACACTGCCTGCTGGTACGAGGGAGAAGGGGGAAAAGCAGAGGCAGGAGAACCACCCAGATCCCCACTCTAGGTCTCTGCTCCCCAAGTCTGTTTCTAGAAACCTGCACATGGAAGACCTCCTTTTTACCTCCTGAGTTTGTTCAGGAGCCTCAGTCATCCTCAACTTCCCTCACTGGATAGGTGTCCCACATCTGCGGGACTAGACTCTTCAAGGCAGCAGGTGTCCATGTGGAAGCCCCGGCCCCTCCACTGAGCCACCTGGCAGAGACACCTCTATCGAAGGGTGCTCAGTCTTTGTGGCAAATCCATTCCTTTGCCTCCCCAGAAAAAAATGCCCTCTGACTTCCACCCTCACTTACCAAAATCCTGTCAAAGGCTGAAGGTGTCCCGCCTCTTTGCACATGTCCAAGTATGGTCACTCGCGTGTCATACCCCAGCTGTTTGACCACAAGCTGAAGGGAAATAGCTCTGTCAGGTGACACAGAACACAACACGCCATGGGCCGGGCACACCCACCCGTGCTAGGTGACGGGCTGGGGACTGAGAAGAGTCCCTACGCTTCCTTCGGATCCACATGGGCAAAAACATGTTAATTTCTAAACCTGGCTTCCTGGAGGAATGTTTAGCTTGATGGCTAGCTGAAAATTATTTTTTAAAAATAATACCTCTGTAATCAATTAAAAATCTTATGTCTCTCCTACCTTGAAAACAAACATAAGTAACATGACTTAAAAAAAAAAAAATCTCTTTGTGTAGCTTATTGAAAACAAGACTAATACTTTATAAAAATGTAACCATTTCCATGAATCACCTTAAATTTGTATAGATGTATGTGGAAAGGACAGCAGTAAAGTTGAGCTATCCTCCTCAGGCTGAGACCCATATGGACCCCAGGGGGAGAGCCGGGGCAGGTAACCTGTCTTCCTGGGCCTCAGTTTACTCTACTATGGAGATAACGGGTTAGCACATAGAATTCCATAGAATTCCTTTTTGCAGTCTTATAGTCCATGATTCATGCTCAACTTTGATTAGGAGGAACACAAGAATCTTGGCTCTATCGATAACTTCTTATCAATATTGCCAGGTAATTTTCACAGATCTCTCTCAATGTTTTAATATTCAGATGTACAGTTGGTAGGAATTAATAACAAGATTTTTTTTTCTCACTAGTGACCATAACCAGGCACGCAGTAGAGAAACCAACTTAAAAATCCAAATCAAAATGTCTTTGATCCTGAGGGGTGGTTTTAACCAGAGCCTGTCTGTTCCTCAGTGTTCCTTCCGGATTTGTGGTTTTCTTCTAGAACCCAGTTGGCCTGGCCAACCCATCCTGGCCTGTCTGGCCCAATAGGCCTGCCCCCATCTGATTGAGGCAACAAGATAGCAATCAGGGGTGGGTGGGTGTGGTGGTGGGGGGGCGGAAATGGTAGTGTCTTAAGTTACTCAAGCACACATTCTTGGCTGATCCTATTAGAGTGGCTGGTAGCCAGAGGTGGAACCTTTTATACCACTCTACCTAGCTTCCTCCATCTGTCTGGGAAAATGAAGCCTTTGGTAACATTCCCAGTGGGAAGGTAGGAAGCACAAGACCTCCAGAGCTGGGAGCTGTATGAATCTCATTAAAGTTATGAGCCACTATAAAAATATTTTTAAGTATCAGGATGAACAAAAAGTGCTTACAAAAGAATAATGCAGGGTTCTAAACCCAAATCATGCCAGCACACTAAGCTTCCCCATTTTCAAGTGGGTGACAGGGGACTAAAGAGAAGATGACACTCACCTCCTTGATCTGCTCAGAGGTAATGGGTCTATTTTGGGTATCAATTGCTCCTTCAGCTACAATGATAATATTCAGTCTTTTTTTTCGGGCACGGTTCTAAGAAAACAGAAAATGAAAATCTTCAAATGCTGAAACTCTTCTTAAACAACCTGGGGCAGTTTGCTTCAGTGACCTGGTCCCTTGCCAGTAGGATCTGTCAAGTTTACAAACTGTGCTTCCGAACAACAGGCACCCTGGGAGGGTGAGTACTAGAGGGCAGGAGGAGTCAGAGGTGCTCCCTAAGAGGTGATTTTGACTCCCTAGTCAGTTTGTCATGGGGAGTCACACACATATGTTGTTTGGGTTTTAGGATGGATAATTCATTATTACTATACATCAAACAATTTTTCAGACAGAAATCTTTAAGGTGTGAAGATAACAGTACACAAGCAATTATTTTTGCATCATTTGGAAAACCAAAAATATAGGAAGCAATGGCACGTCCATGAATAAGGGATTTGTCAAATAGCCATGCTTTACCCACAAAACATTCTGAAACTCTTAAAAAATGACAGTGTTGTCTATATACTTCCATGGGAAGATAATTCACTGAAAGCCTCCTGGGTCCCCACCTGGATCAACTAACACATTCACTGACTCCTCATGGGATCACTAAGGAGAGATCATGTCACCCACATCATGCCGAGGGGGTTAGGACACGGGACAGTGGTGCTGGCCCTGATGAGGGACAGAGCCAAAATCTAACCCTAGGAATCCTGATGCCTTGGACAGTCCTTTTCAATTTTGCACTCAAATCTCTTGGACTTGGGGCTAATTTTCTAAGTCATTTTATGCAGCAAGATATTGGAAAAATTCTTGCAGTGCTGCATTAATAACCAATTAATTACATATTAGATATATTACATATTCCCGTAGAGCTACGTTAATGCCCAATAAAATTAATTACACATCAGGCATTTTATTACATAGTCTTATAATGCAACATTAATGACCAATAAAAATTAATTACATATTAAATATAACAATATCAAGTGTTTACACATTCAAGTTCTTTTAAAACAACTGTCCTACACATCTGTCAAGACTTACAGGAGAGAGGACCCCACAAATTCTTACTGTTGTCCTAACTGCCTGTGCAATTTATGTTCAAAACTCAAAAGTATTTGCAGAGAAGACTACAGAGTTGCAGAAATAATGACAATCGATACATGAAAATCAAACGACCACTTCAACTTCCCCCAACCTTCCTGACCACCATATTCTTGGTGTCAGCCAGGGTTAGTTTCTATTTCGCTACAGGGCTCCCATTACTCCCTGGCCTGCCACACCATTGCCCTGGACAGGGCTAGAGACAGGCAGGGAGGTGGAAAGGTGGCTGCCAGGGGACAGTCACAGTCTCTTGGGGGTTGTGACTTTAAGTAATATATCACACGCAGTGGTAATTGCATGGATGTCCTCAGACCACACAGAAGTTAACAGTCTCGAAAGAATACCACCTTCCCTCATGCAACCAACCTGGCCTTGCCCCACACCAGCTGGTGGGTGGAGGATATTGCTCATGTCCCATATCAGAGCCACAAAACAATGAACTTACTTAGGACTTTAATAGTAACGTTCATACTTGAACAGCCCCGCTTTACTGGTTTTGTATAGCTAAAGGCTCTAACCTCCAAAGGTACATGATGCTTCTCAGCAGAAATGCAGCTTTGATCAGAGCTCCTTATACCAGTTTTTAGGTCAACAAAGCACCCTGCTGGATTCCTTTCTCCAACTCTGTCACCCTGAAGGTGAGGGCCGTGTCTTCATGCGCACTGGGCCCTGTGGCATGAGGAGTGGTGCTTGCTGAATGTAGGGGTGAGTAGCCTATGCTGCTTGCTTACATTACTTACCACTAAACAGTGAGACAACAGTTATCAAAATAAAAGAAGGGAAATTGACCACACTTTGGGATTTCTGCCCTGAAAGTTATAAGTTGCTTTTATGTGCAAACTCATATGCCTTCATTATAGAAGCCTTCAGGGAGGGAAACTTGCCTGATGCTAATCAGCCACAGTGTGAAAGGCAAACATGCACAGACTCATGGCAGTGGGGGAGGCCTGGTTCACAGTGTTTAGCCCACAAACCTGGCAGTCAGGCCAGTGCGAGGGGGACAAAGCTACCGGAGATGTCATAGCATGTGGGGGAACTTAGGTTGGAGTCAAAACACAGGTCTGTTCATGCTTGGTGAGTGGAGAGAGGCATGAAGCAGATTAGCTGCCCAACTGTGAACTTTCTTTTAAGAGCCATGATTTCTGGGAAACTCCTTAATCTAAAGCTTTAACTACTGTTCTGCATGAAGAACAAAAAAGTTATAGCTGTTTCTCTATCGCATTACTCTGCAATATAAAAGAGAACATGGATCCTTGACTAGTCAATATAGGTAGACCCTCTGGCAAGCGTGAATTCACTTTGAAATTGGTAAGTTTTCACCAATTGAAAACTGCCAAGTTGACAATGCCGGAGGCTGCTGCAGATCCTGGTCTGCGAAGTGCAAGTGACTCACCGGAGATGGAGGGAAACAAAGCGTGAGTTACCTCTGAGAGCTTGATGCACATGTGCTCCTGCCAGCCTTCTTCTGGGGGCGACTCTGGAAGGAACACCCAGTCTGCCCCACAAGCCAAGGCGCTCACCAGGGCAAGGTACCTATTTAGAGAAAGCAATGATCCCATAAGGCTGCCATGGACAGAGCTCAGCCACCTTGGGCCACAGAACATGGGTGCTTGTTCTGTGCTTGCATGCTTGCTTCCCTCCCAGGAAGCACTCTTAATGTGAGTGCAGGGCTCTCGGGAGAATGTGCTAATAGGGATTGTTTCCATTTGAGTTGTACCCCTACATACGTACCCGCAGTGTCTGCCCATGACCTCTAGAACAAAGGTCCTTTGGTGGCTGGAAAAAAAGACAAAATAAACATCCATTCACCATTACCAGAACAGCATGGAAAACAAGGAGAAAAGTGCTTTTGCAGCCAAGGTAGACAGCACCCTCCCTAGCACCCCAATCATGGTAGGTCCTTGACTCCCCACCATTGACCCATTTTCTACAAAAGCAAATGCCATCCCAGCAGCATGCTGTGCCATCCCATTTTCTGTGATAAGGGGCTTTGGCAGCAAGCACTCTTTCTGGTAACTCGTTGTACATCTGTTTGCCTGTGCCCAGGCATATCTGCACTTCTAGGGCAATTTTCTAGGTTCTTTCCAAGAAAATAGCTCTACTTAGCTAGTCACTTCTGCTGCCAAGAAACACAGGCTGGAGACGCCCCCAGCAAACACAGGAGACAGAGGGTTGGGAGTTAGACAGTCAGCTTCGTGACTGCCCCACAGCTCTGATCCTTCCGTGAAAGGAAAACCTGACTGCTGCCAGCAGTTCATGGCGTGGTTTTCCAAAAGTCATGCTGTTCTCAGGAACTGGACAAACCTGAGCCTCTTCAAACAAAAATTGGGAGGCACTTATGCTATCTTCCCTTTCACTTGGTCTTGGTGAAAAGTGTCTCCACGCTCCCAAGTGCCACATGAAGAACACTCAGGGATGATCCTGCATGAGTCTGTCACCGCGGACAGAATGCCACGTTTCAGCTTCACCTAACCTTGTAACATCTGCAGGTTAACATCCAGGCTGTGCTTGCTGGCGTGTCTAACAAGGGTGTGGCAAAACTCACAGTTTTACTGACTGAGGTTCCCAAAGAAGACCTTTGCCCAGGACTTTAGATAATGATTCCTTGTCTTCCACGCTTTTCTAAATTCTCTCTGATGAACCAATTTTTCTCTGAAAGTCCATAGTTGGGAGTAACTTTATAACTTGGAAATAAAAAGATGTCTTGTACCATTTTCTAATACTCCAGGCATACAACTTGCACAGAAGGGTTCCCCTGTGGAATCTCCCAGAGCCAGCACCAAGGTCTGGGCCACGCACACACATGTCCAGCGCCATCACCACCTCTCCAGAGGCTCCTACCTCTGGGCGGTGGTCATGATGGCATCCACGACCTCAATGATCCTGTGCAAGGCGGAGTCAGTGCCGATGGTCATGTCGGTCCCACAGAAGTCATTGTCGATGGAGCCCACCATGCCCACGACATTGAGATAGCCATACTTCTCTACCTCCTCTTTGCTGATCTTGCCTGTGGGGAAGAACAGATCACATGTGCTTTGTCAGCAGGCACAGTGCTGACGCCAGGACGCCATGCTGGGCACTAACTGGTAGGTGGCCATGGGCAAGAAACCCTCAATTCTAAACTTGCTCTCTTTCTTTTTTCATTTTATCAGAACTGCATGTAAATTAAAAATAAAAACCAGACAAAGGTGGAGGGGATGACACAGATGCTGCTGATATTCAGAGAAGTCACAAAATGAAAGGAGCAAGGATCAGCACATAGCAACTGGTGGGCAAGACTGACTTCAGTCTGGCACCGGCTTCAGAGAAAGGCTTGGCTCTAGGGGAGGGCAGGTCACAGAACAGAATAAAGCCCTTAAGAATGCTGTGTAACCGGCCTATTGATTTCTCCACATCCGTGGGGGCTGGAGAGTTGACAGGTATCTACTTAGCATTCTCAGAAAAGATGAACAGTTCTGGCAGATGTTCTTAAGTAGAGTTGGAATTGAGGGTGTACAGGCAGCAGGCCTGAACTCAGGCTATTCCTCCCGAGTGATCCCCAAGCCTGAGTTACACCAGAATAAGGTGGCTAGAAGGTGCTTGGATCTTGCTGCTTGCCTCTGATAGCCATTCCTTATTTCCTAAAGCAGATCTTACAGACCGTCAGGCACCTGCATCAGTTCAAGTTTACACCCTTTACAAAGCTGCTGTTATTCAGGCAATATACTACCACAAGTTTTACATTAAATTGGAATCTTATAATAATAGCTTTAAGATAAAACCCATGTCATGTACAGGGTTCTAGGAAACCCTTTCCTAAGTGCCTTCAAAGCTGTGAAGGATGGGGCCTCCCCTGGTGGCGCAGTGGTTGAGCGCTGGGCTGTGAGGCCAGCGCCTGTTCGATCCCCGGCCACCGGTGAGGGTCCCACATGGCGTGCAGCCCTCTCCTGCCGCTCACTGCTCCCCTCAGCAGTGTGTTTCGTTGGTCTGCCTGTTCAGTTCCCCGCTCTGGCTCTGGTGAGTTCTCTCACCCTCCCGCACTTGTGACTGTACCCAGTGCTTGTATGAATAAATAAATAAATCTTTTTAAAAAAAAAAAAGCTGTGAAGGATGATCTCGCAGCAGACCACTGTCATCCCAATTAGAGTCCCCAACAACTTCAGTTTACAGAAGCCCCGAGCCCAGCCCCTGTGGAAAACAGTATGGAAGTTTCTCAAAAGCAGTAAAAATAGATCTAACATAGGACCCAGCTATCCCTCTCCTTCCCTACCAAATAGCTCAAAAACACCAATTTCGAAGGCTAGATGACTCCTCTGATCATTGTAGCACTATTCACAGTAGCCAAGCTATGGAAACAATGTGAATGCCCAATGACAGATGAGTGGATTAGGAAAGTATGGTGTTATGGATATACACAATGGAACACTACTTGGCTTTGCAAAAGATGAAGTCTTTCCATTTGCAACAAAATAGATAGAATTGCAAGGGATTATGACAAGCAAAATAAATCAGAAGGCGAAAGACAAATACTGGATGATCTCACTCATGTGAAATATAGAGAAACAAAATAAAGGAACAGACAAAATAAAACTGAAACAAACCCTAGAAATCAGACCGCAGAGTTAAAGCTACCAGAGGGGGAGGACAAGGGATGGGGGCCAAAGGAAGGAAGGGGCCCCATGGACTGGGGTGGAGGATCACTGGTGCTCAGGTGTGGTGTGGCAACACACATCTGAAGAGGTGGGATTCTAAACGTCTCAATCATATGCAGGGGTTTGCATCACACAACCTCAGTAAAAAAATAATTAAAAAAAAAATAAGAACACCCAAGGAGCTACGGATGTAGCTGATGGCTAATCAGAGCTGGCATCCAGCATAGGGGTGCCCTGGATCCCCACTCAGACCCACGGGCGTCCCCCCCAGACTCCCCCTTGTCTGTAAAATGGGTATACAGATCAAACCCATCTCTGATGGTTCTTGTAGCCATCTCTGATGGTTCATGAAGCAACCATGAAAAAACAGAGGGGCCTGGCACACAGTAGTGAAATAAATATTCCTCTTCCTATAGCTTTCGGTTTATTTGAGGCACAAATTCAGTTCTGCTGGGGCAGCTGTAAAATATGCTAAACCGGCAGAATGTCAGAGCTCTCTGACCGACAAGGGGCAGGGAGCCCAGGAGAGCACTGTGCAGGCAGCAACGTACCATCTTTGGCCAACTCCTCCAGCAGCCCGTTCCACTCCTTCCGGAAGATGTTGGCCCCCGTGAGACTTCCGTCCCCGCCAATGACACACAGGTTGGTGATGCCCTGCTGAATCAGGTTATGAGCAGCCTTCAAGCGACCTTCTCGAGTCCGGAATTCTTTACAGCGGGCACTGCCAATAATGGTCCCTCCCTGGAAAAGGAAGAAAATTTTTGATTTATTTCCTCCTAACTGAACAAATGCTAGACTGGGTGCATGGCAATGCTGATGCATACACATAGGGCTTTCAAAATTGAGGTCTCCCTTCTTTCAGTCTTATAAATTAGTCATCAATGTAAGTCTGTACTTCCCCCCATTTTTATTTCCATCCTGAAATTCTATGAAAAAAAGACCTATACAGGGTAGCCAGGAGGGCATGGAAGCAGGGTTGATGGCAGGATCAACTAAACAGAGCAGAGGCTACAGATGAGCTCAACTGATCTGACTGAGGTTGACAGCAAGGGTAGCTGGGCACCCAGGAGCTAGGAAGAGCTCAGCACCCAGCCTCAGTGTGTCCAGTGGCTGCAGGGAACAAGGCTGCCCCTTCCATTTGTTCAAGGCCCTCACATGTGCAGGCAAAATGTACAGAAATCTGTGAGCTACAGGGATTTGTTTTTCTACCACATTCCCCCTCCCTTACCTATTTTTAAAGACTAAATCTTAAGTGTGATCATCCAGACTTTTGAAAGAACAAAATTGGGCCTTCCTGGTGGCACAGGGGTTAAAGACAGTGGTATCAAGCTATCTCCTGCCACTGCAGCACTGAGTTTGATCTCTGGCTGGCCAGGGAGATACCTACATGGCACAGCAGTTCTCTCATGCTTCGTCCACTGCTCCCCTCAGCAGTGTCTTTCAGTACATCTGCCTGTTCTGCTCCCCACTCTCTCTGGTGAATCCTCTCACCCCCTGCATCTCTGGTTTACACCCCAGTTCTTGTATGCATAAATAAATAAATCTTTAAAAAAAAAGAACGCAAAATCATGATTTTTTTTACACTTGGTAAAAAAAAAACCCCAATAACCACAAAGAAGGAAGCGTCCCAGTTTTACTTAGAAAAATGTAGGATCCTAGCCCTTTGTGTGTGGCTAGGAAGGCACTTATAAGACTTCAGTTTTGTGTGGGAGGCTTCAAGTGCCCACTCACCTCAGAGAAAGATCCTATGTTAAGGACAGTAATCAGGATGGGGGAGGGCATGTTGGGACTCTACACAGCCCAGGGGACAGGGAAGGCGGAGGGCACAGGGCAAGACATGCTGGTTCCCTGAATGTTGATTTGACCAAGAGATTCCAGAGGGTCGTGTGATTTTAAGTGGAAGTTAAGTCAGCAACACATCAATAACAACACTGGGAGAAAAAACATGGAGAGGACCCAGAAGGACACTAAGTAGCAAAGAAGCCGGCAACTCATAGACATGCACATGCACATACACACACACATGCTCGTGTGAGCACACACATGGTCACACATACTCTCCCTTATACACACTTCAATTGACATGGACTTCCCACCTTCTGGCACAGCACAGATCAGAATGGAAATGTCCCTTTCTAGGCAGTCTAGAATCCAGATAATATGGTCCTGAGTTTTTGCAAATATTACTCTATCTAAGTGTTGATGACCATCAAACTTTCTTACAGTCTCTTTCCAGGCATAGTGAAACAAAGGAGGTCCAAGTGCAAACTTACGTGTCTGTGACCAGCATGACAACCTATTCCCCATGAGCACGCTGCCCCACCCCCAGATTTATTGAGAAATAGCTGACATATGACATTGTGTAAGTTTAAGGTGTACAATGTCATTTGGTGCATGTACACACTGCAAAACGACTACCACAAATTTAGCTAATACATCTCTCAATGCACATAATTACTTTTCTCTTCTTGTGATGACAACTTTACAGATCTACTCTCTTAGCAACTTTCAAGCATATAAAATAGCATTGTTCACATTTTTTAAGGCCTATAATATGATGAAATAATATACATTGTGAAATCATCAACACACTCAAGTTAATTAACGCCTCCAAATCACAGTTACCTTTTGTGTGTGTGGTGAAGACAAGGAAGATCTCCTCTCTCAGCATCTTTCAAGGATACAATGCTGCATTGTTAACTACAGTCGCCACGCAGCATAGCAGATCCTCAGAACTGATTCATCTGATAACAGAGTGTGTAACTTTGACCAACATCTGCCCATTGCTACCACCCCTAACCCCTGCAACCCCCAACCTACTGTTTCTGTGAGTGTGACTCTTTTAGATTCTCTACATGAGATGACGCAGTGTTTTTCTTTCTGTCTCTGCAAATGGCTTATTTCATTTAGCATAATGACCTCCAAGGCCACATAAGTTGTCTCAGATGGCAGGATGGCTTGGTTATATACACATATAAAATGTATATATCCACTATGTGTGTGCATATAATATAGATGTGGGTACGTGCACATGGGTCACATTTCTTTTTCAATCTATTCATCTATTGCACTAGCACCTTCCAATGAAATGTTTCAACTTGAATTCTATTAAAAAGTACTCAACATGAGTCATGGATTAATAAATACATTTCAAAAGATTGAGCTGCAAGTAAAAAGCTTTTCCAAAGTCCATTCTTCCTAAGCCATTGCTTTCTTCCTCATCCGATTTGGAGCCTTCACTAAGCTCCAATGTTCCAGGAGTTTATTAAGCATAAAATTCTCAGGCAGGTTTCTTTTAAATTCAAAGTAATCAACTGTTTTTGCCCCCAGTGGTAGTTACCTCATCTTTGCTCATACCAAGGCAATTAGCTGTCTGATTCAGGCCAGAACAGGGGTGCTGTGTTTCCACTAAATCCACAGCTCTCAGAGGTTGCCAGCGGGAATCTTTCCCAGGCTTTGTTACACCGATGCCAGGGACTTGCAAAAACCCCCACAGGCATGGAGATTTGTGTCTAAACATAAAACACCAGCAAGCCAAAGTACCTTAACGTAATTTGGTTTAAAAATCAGCCCAGATTATTACAAGTAGCATGACCAATGCTAGCTACCCCACGTAACTTTATTGCAAGGGTAATAACCCTCAGTTTGCACTATATAAAGCTTTTTTAAAAAATTTAATTGACAGTGACAAATTAAGGATGTTTTCTTGCCATGCAAGTAGGCCGCACACGAATCAGTCTTAAGTATTACTGCAATGCATATACAAAAGGCTCTAACTCAAAAGTCCCTTAGAGAAGCAGTATGAAGACAGCACCTACCACTTGCAGAATGCTCGAGACGCTTTCCCAGTTGGCCTCCACAATGTTCCTGCCGCCATCTACCATGCCTTGGTAACCCTGGAGGAAGAGAATGAAAACATTTTTCAAACTGGGTTAGACTTTGTGGAGACACTAATTGATGTATTAATTGTGTAAAATGGAAATACAAATGACAATGCATCTGAGCTCCCAAGAGCCAATGGTTAGAAGACATGGTGGGCCTCCCTGGTGGCATAAAGGGTTAAGCACCGCATTATGAAGCAATCTGCAATCTCTGCAGCACAAGTTCAATCCCTAGCCGGCCAGGGACAAACCCACATGGCGAGGCAGACCTCTCCTGTCTTACCCACTGCCCTCCTCAGCAGTGCATTTTAGTCAGCCTGCCTGTTCTGCTTCCCACACTGCTCCCCAATCTGTCTCTGGTGAATCCTCTCACCCTCTACATCTCTGGCCTGTACCCCATATCTTGTATGCATAAATAAATCTTGGGGAAAAAAAAGCACCACCATTAACTATGAAAAAAAAAAAAAAAGAAGAAGACAGTTCGATACAACTTCTAGTTCAAACTATTATCTTGGGGTAGAGCCTCTTAAATTTAATCTCCAATAACTGGGATTTCCACCAAGACTGGTTCATTGCATGATGGGGAATTAAGATAGTTTGCCTACTGGTGACTAAGAGACTGAAAAGGGTCACATCTCCCCTAAAGCTTTTTGTAATTTATTTTTTTTTTTAAAAGATTTTATTTATTTATTTATTTATTTATTTATATAAGCACTGGGTACAGTCAGAAGCGCAGGAGGTTGAGAGAATTCACTAGAGCCAAAGCGGGAAGCAGAACAGGCAGAAGGACTGAAGTACACTGCTGAGGGGAGTAGCAGGCGCGGCAGGAGAGGTCTGTTGCGCCATGTAGGACCTTCACTGGTGGCCGGGGATCGAACCGGCACTGCAGAGGCTGCAGGCAGCTTCGCAGCCCAGCGCTCAACCGCTGTGCCACCAGGGGAGGCCCACTGTTGGTAACTTAATACAAGCACACACGAGCAGTTGTGGTGACCAGACTGTATGTATACATTAAACATTCCTACTGGGGCCTCTATTTGCCCAGGCAATTTATACTACTCTAGATTTACAGCATTTTTTTCCTTTCAAGCACAGCTAAATGTTACCCTTGAAATTCAGTTGTCTTACCTTCCACTTAGTGACATTTACGGAGGGCAAATTTTGGATGAAATCGGATCTATGTACATTTTTGCTTAGATGCCCAAAGAAAAGCATCTCCATTTTTCTCCATAGGAGAAAAAAAGATCAAGAAAAACAGAAATGTTTATTGCATTTTTATCTGTCTTTCTCACTTTCCAGGGCATTTAACCTTAAAAAGGAGTAGGCATTAAGTATTTAGAGATACTTGACATAATAGATTATTATTGTAGATTCATATCCTCTACCTAGTGAAAATCTAGAAGAAAAAAAGGAATAAAGAATTTAAAAAATAAAATGGCCCACTGAGTATGGAACCCCATATACAAATTCATCAATAATTCATCCCTTTATGAGTGATTCATTCATATATTTATACATGTAAAATTCTCATAAAAAAAAGGTAAGACACACATATTATCAATATATAATTGAGTGTTATCTATGTATTGCTATATTATTTATGATGCATGGATATATAATGTAGAAAAATGTAAACATACACATGTACATGCATGTGTGTATGCACTCGTGTCTGTATATTACAAATGAGGAGAAAATCATATAGAATGAAAAAGAAGCTCAGAGGAGACTGCTTTTAGTGGCAGTCAGTGTCTCTCTACTCCAGACCTGTGGGCTCCCCCAGCCCTCAGAACAGGGGGGGACAAGGATAGCCACGACCTGCCCAGTGCCTGCAGGGGGACACAGTGGCACTTCTTCAAACACACCTCAGCCTAACTTTAAGGGTCGCTTTCATCTTTTCGTTCATATCTCCCTTCTTCCTGAAGACTTTACAGGGTGTACATTTTTAGCCAATTCCATTTAAAGTATAGCGCTGGCGCGACCGGCTGTCACCGCAGAGGGCAAGGGAGATAAACTGGAGTCCACCCCACCCTCTGGAAAGGGAGCCGCTATCAGAGGGCTATTTTTGTTGGTCCTGGAATGTCAGCTCCTAAACAGAAGAGGACGAACTTCCCTGCTGCTCCAGTACCAAGTTCAGAACCACTTTCTCAGTGACCCCAGGGGTCTTAGTTCAATAGAACATTAAAAATAGGTCATAGTGGATGGAGGGTGGGTGTGTGGCTGGAGGGACGGATGGATGGATGAATGAATGGGTGGGTGGGTGTATGGGTGGGTGACAGATGATGAGAGAAAATAAATTCATCATTGGATAGATGACAAATGATAGATGGATCACTGGAAACATGAATGATAGAGAAGGGAGGGGCAGGAAGGAGAAAGAGAACAAAAGAGAAAGAATCCAGATTTAGGGTTGCTCGTTTACGTGACCGCTGCCTCCCTGCAACTCCCAGGTTTCTGTTAAGTAGTAGGTCTCACGCTGCCTGCACAGCACGCGTCCATTCTAAGACACAAGAATGTGACTGAACAAACTGCACTTTGTGGTCAAGCTACTTTCTGGGTTTGCTTCTGTGAAGCTGGATCACAGGGAACAGCAGGTGAGCAGGCCTATGACCTGGGTCCAAGTGGTTACTAGACCACTGGGCTGAAGTAGTCCCTGCATTTTGGGAGGATGTGTTGTTATGCAAACCTGTGACACCTGAGGAGAGGAACTATGCTCATTAATTAGGCCAGAACAGCAGGCTCCAGTTGGGCTTTTCCGAGCAGAGCAGGAGGGAGTGTTGCATTGATCCTAAGCAAGGCTTTGGCAAAACCGAAAGTGAAACCTTCCAAATCCCACACCAGTAGCCACTAGAGCCATTTGTGTATACTCTATTTCAGGTAAAGAGAGAGGAAGGGAAGGGAGCCAGTCCTGTTTCCAAGAATGAGACCTGGCTGCTGAAGCATCCTGAGATCACGGTGGGGCTGAGTCCCAGGCCCATCCTGTGACATACTCCAGCTCCACATTTTCATCACTCCTGTGGCTTGTATGTCAGAGCCACTGCTGCTCAGCATTGAGAGGAATGTGCTGCCCAATGTATGTCATACTGGGACCAGAAAAATTCCCTTCCTCTTTATATTTCTCAGTTTTAAATAGTGATTTAATAAGACTTTTTTTCTTTCTAAATCCTGTTGTTTCTAGAGTCACCATGAAAAGCTGTTCTACAAACCTTAACACATTTTGAAAAGTAAAAAGTTCTCCAAAAAGAATTTGATTTGTCTGTGTGTGCTCAGTGTGGTAATCAAAGGATTAAAAAAGGAAAAGGATGATTTTATCACCACTATACTTTGCAAAGCCCTCACGATTGTACACAGGAGTTTGGTTGCTAGGAAATGACTCACTCTTTCACTTGAAAAGTAGTCAAGCTCACCTAACATTTGGAAAATAAATACCAACCTCAGTTTTAAGTTGTCTTGCATAACAAGAATAATGTTGCTAAATTAGAAGGACTAGTTTTACACTGGTGTACTATAATTTGTAAATTCAGATGAGTTTTTCCTACTGAAATCTCCTAGAAACGTTCAACACCTAAACTAATGCAGTCACATCTTTCAAAAATTTTTTTTCTAAAATTTCCTTTGGAATTTGCCTCCCAAACCAGTTTCATGACTCACACAAGAAAAACAAACCAGAAAGCCTTTAAAGCTACACTTAGTTTTTGACCAAAAGTAACACTATTTTGTTGATCCTGATTCATAAGGTGTCCCCAAGAGATCTTTAAATGGCTCCATCAAATTAGCCACCCCACACAATGCTTAACATGGGATCATCGCATCACACCTGGGAGCATATTACAGGCTCATAAGTCATTTTAGCTTCTTGTCTGAAATTGTTTTGAGCAATGTCAAAATAAGTGCAATTATTGTCCCAACTGAATTCTTGGGAGATTGTGACATATTTAGACATTATTTTGAATGGAATTTTTGGGTATATATTAAATCCATCCTAAATAGAGAAAGGGTTAGTCCAGCTGTGGGTGATTTTCTCTTATGGAGATTTCAAGTGTATTTTCAAAAATGCAAGATGCAGAGGGAAATTTTAGTCTCCTGTTAACAGCAAAGCAAGCCTGCTCTTTTATAACGCTTACATGCTTGCTGGGTCCATATCTTCTCAACTTCATGCTTTTTTAGAATCTGATTTCCTGGATTCCTCAGTCAACAATGAAGTGTGAATGACAAACATTCCTACTACCAGAGGAAACGATCTGCCACAGACAGCACAGCTCAGAAGTATTTTCTAGATATTATCATCTCTGACTTTCTAAGCATAGTTACTGCATTCAGCAACTTATTCAGGCGGGGTTTGTTACTTTCAAATAAATACATGGTCTTGTTTCCTATGAAACAATTAAGATTCCTTAATTTAAAAGATGTGGAGAGGTCATCTCTGAACTGCTGTTAAGTCTTAGAATTGGCGGACACTGTCCTATGAAACCAGGTGTGTAAGACAACGGAGCACAGGGGCTCTCCAGGAGGTCACTGACTTTCAAAGTCCAGGAACTTTACTTTGCTTCTCGGAACTTCCCATTCAGACTTCAGGTCAGGCATCTCCACCCTACCTTCACCTGCGGGTTCTCAGGGAAAGAATGCTCTGGTCTATGGAAACTAAACCCCTGCTCACTGATTTCATGACTTCAGAGCAAATGCATAACAAACATTCTTCAAATTTATTCTTGGAGAGATTAGGTCAATGCTAAATTCTAAAATAGGTTAGCGTATAAAACAAGGTTTTGTACAGTCTTGTGCTTGGTGCTTCTGAAAATCTGATCATATACTAACACGACATATTTAGCCCTCTGGCGGTGTTAGATTTCTTTAAGCTAAAGTTAACAATGAAGCCAAAGCCACAGCAGGAACAATGGGAGTGGTTGTGAGGACAACAGGCCTGTGGCTTCACAGCAGCCCTCAGTGAGGACAGCGTAGGGTGTAAGTAGAATAAATTGTCACTTTTTTTGAGATTTGAGGACTAACATGTTGACTAT